TTCAGCCAACAGCCAGAATCCTGTAACCTTGACCAGCATTCCTTTAGCCACAAACCCGCTATTCTTTAGATACGACTCCTCTCCCCCTATTCCTGCTTTTTAACCTTTCTCTTAACAGTCTCACAAGCTTTAATCACTGATTTGCATTCACATGTGAACTTTGTTCATGAGATTTCCATAAGATAATATATTGTTAGAAGCCTCCCGTCCAACAAAGGACCCAACTTGAACATAATAGCATGTTCATCTGTCGCTGGTATCGTTAAATATGAATGTGTAAAGTGGTCGCTAGAGCCTCAACAATAGTTGCGTAGCAAGTTTTTTTAACACGTGGTTGGGAGTTACAAAGATGAAACATTTTGGCTTCTAGAAATTGTAAAATCCTAGGGATACTATATATTCAAAGCATTCAAGGATCGCAACAAGAAAAATATAACGAATAAATATATATTTATTCGTTATATTTTTCTTGTATATATGTATATCTGGAGACATTTCACCGAATGAAAATAAAGTATTGTTAAACTAGGGCTGGTAAACAGGAAAAGCTGTTCGATCAATAAGCGGCTCAAACTCGGATTTCTCTAGTGAAGAACAAATTACAAATGCACTGTATGATTTTAGATCCACCCGTAGAATTGCTTCCTCTTCCTACACTTGTTCAGGGTCAGTGTGCATATTTCGTCCCAGCTGTCTGGTACTGACTGATTCCATTTTGATTGTGTTGCTATCCTTGTGATTCAAATTGATCATTTGTCCGCTGAAAATTTCGTGAGCTAGGTATCTGATTTTTTGAGCGAATTCCAGTCACAGTGGGTTGCTATTTTGACATTTGTTGCATCGGAAATTTCGAAAGGTGAAAGTTGCAAAGGTATGATGTAGTTTCTCTCATTCTACCCTCATTAGGTTAAATAAGCATATTTCACGCCGCAAATGCTTCCCACTTAGGCTTTACAGGTGACATCTATTCACACAATTCATTGTTTAGTTGTAAGGAATGTGGTATTTGTCGCAATGGATCAATTTTCCAGAACACGATTGTGCTTTTAGTTCGTATTTCGGTCGGCCAAGCCACACGCAAATGAGGTTACATTGTTACACAATAAACCTCTTCTAATCAGCAAATGTTAACTAAATCCATAACTAAGTGGTCTACTATTTTTTACTAATATTTAGTTTATACTGATCACAGCCTACCATCGTACCATCATCATCATCATCGTACAGCGATATACCGAGAGGCGAACTTCACTGATCGCTGCCAAATTAGCAATGCATATGTACTGGGGTTTGATGGACAGGTACTGCTAGGGTGTCCAACCACTAAGTAGGAGATCGATTAGGGTTCTCAACCAACGCCTTTAGTTCTGAAAAGAACCTAACCGCAAGGCAGTGAGTGGGTGAAGCGAAGTGGAGGCCCATGTACCTGGATCAATTACCAATCATCATATTTTACCGACTGAAAGACAAATTCTAATAGAATCCTCAACCTGGAGGACCAGGAGACTGGACTTTCAGGTATGATTAGATCTTCGGTTTAACAAAAGCCATCCTGTATAGATCGTTGGGTCAGAGGTGCACAAGCCATTACACCACTTCAAAGGATCATCAGAAATAAACAGCCGACTGCGGAAGAATAAAAAGAAATGCAACATTGTGGAAAATATTGACTGTGTCCTTCACCGGTTCGAATGACTGAAACATGAACACAATCACAACAGGTGCGGTCCCAAACACGAGGTTCTATTTCCCGAATGTGGATGCGTCCGTTCAGCCCACACAAGTGCAGATAGCGCGCGGAACAATGTACAAAGAGAAGAAATAACCGAGGAATGCGCGGTATCCATCGGACGAGAACATCAGTACAGAAGGGAAGCTACACATCATTTTCAGTACCCGGTATTTCATCATAGTGCACAGCTTACAGCAGAGTCGATGAACGCAGTCAACTAGCGTGTTTCCATGTCTGTGGTTGGGCCATAGACTTTGAAACAACGAGGCAAGCAAAGCCGTTACCAATGGTCGCATTTGGGTCTTGAACGGGAGGGAATTCATTATCTCGACTGAGTTGGAATGAGTGCCGAATGCCAAATGATCATGGCATTTGACACTTCAATTTTTAACTTTGTTTTGGCTTTGACTATGGAAATAGCCCTATCCTCTTGCGAGAATAGTGGCGTCGATCCACTCCCAGGTGGCAGATTGTCTGATCTGCAGTATGCAGACCACGTTGTGCTGCTAAGTGAAGATCCCGGTAAGTTGCAAGCATATATGGATAACTTGAATGCCAGCGTAGCCATATTCGGTATGCGTTTTGCATCTTCAAAGTGTAAACTGTTACTACAAGACTGAGTTGGTCCAGCACCCAGCCTCACTCTAACTGAGGAAGTGATAGAGAAGGTGGATAAGTTGTTATTTGGGCAGCTACATCTCGCCCGGTGAACGCATCACGGATGAAGTGTCAGCTCGCACACAGAAGGCTCGGTTGGCACTTGCCAACTTGCGATATCTGTGGCACCGTCGCGACATCCGGCTGTCTGTGAAGGGTTGAGTGTATCCCGCGACAGTTCAGCCAGTCCTGCCATACTGTGCAGAAACTTGGCTATTCAGAAAAGAGGATAAAGATAGTCTGTCGGTGTTTGAACACCGCGGTCCACGCAGCATTACACGAATCTGGTGAGGCGACCGGACGAGCAATGCTGAGGTCAGGCGTAGAGTTTTAGGTTACCGCGGTCGCCCACTGGAGCAAGTGGTCGACCTCCATAGATTACGTTAGTTGGGACATGTGTTACGCATGCCACCAGATAGGTTACCACGGCGAGCGATTTTTGCCAAAGCGGATCCCGAGTGGAAAAAGCCAAGGGTGACCAACCTGAGACCTGGCACGAGGGTGTGAAACCCCTAACCAGGGGAGTGGGTCACATATGTTCCATTAGGCTCCCTGCCTGGGGATCGTGGGACGATCGTAACCGATGGTTAGAGACGCTGAGCGACATGGCTGGTTGTCGCAAACAATGGCGTTCGTCATCATCTCAAATTCCTTGCAACCTTAGACAACTGAACTTCTCCATTTTCTGTTCGACTCCATTTACAACTTTCCTGTCTTTCTCCTAATGTTTATCCAAATGGGCAGCCAAAAGACAGCAACGAAAACTGCCGCACGAAGGCGCATGAGTAATGATTGTAGAAACAGAAACTGGAAACTCCTATTTCCAAAAGAGTGTTTTCCCTGTATGTTTGCTCTTGTCGTATTGAACCGATAGTTCTGTCGAGACCGGGTTGCCCCTAATTTGAGGTATGCCATTGTATTTTTATTCTTGATTCATTCTGCAGTACACGTTAATTTCCCAGACTTGTGTTCTGCCGCGAATTCGGGGGTTCGGTATCTGCGAGTCACTATCAGCGGACGTCATTCTGGTACATCGCGTGATATACCCGCTGAGAAAAGGAACTATTCTATCTTCTGTTTGATTACAAATGTGAAGCAGGCATGTTGTCGAGCGCTCCTCTTGAAACTAATACTAACGTGACGCTTCTAGGAATGTCGCTTGTGAGTCCCAGTACTCTCCAACAGGATTTGCTTTGTTTCAGAACAGTACAATAATCTCACGCTCTAGGTTGTTTCTTTAGGCAACTTACAAACAATCAAAGCTCTAATTATCCAACTTCTTTTACTGACTACGGAAGTATTGGCGGCGCAGAAACTAAGTACCAACTCGGTACATCCTCGCTGGATCAAACCATGCTCTGTTTGTCACATGAACTCGATCTTTTACTTGGCCTCTCATTTGTGTCACGGAATGCTACACTACCTATGGTTCTAGCTGTTTTTTTCTGCACAATCATGTCTTGTGCCTGGTCAATGATCTTAGATTCTAGTAATCTTTCCATCTATACTCTTTACCTGTTTGATCTTTGTCTGACCACACAGGAGAGTCCATTCTTGTTCGGCGGTCCCCTGGCGGAGTCTACATCCGGTCCTTTTCGAGCACCTTCGTTGGATCAGAACGCAAACGATCGGGCGACTGACAACTGCAGGCGTCTAAATCGGGATCCGGTGAGTGGTGGAATATTTACAGCTTATGTGGTTATTTAGTGGTAGTAATTCTTACCACTATTAAATGTAACCACTATCCGGCGCTACTGAGTGTGCAACCATTCCGTCCTTGATGATCCATCTGATACAGGCCCTGCTCTATGGCTGACGTTTACAGTTTATTCAAGCTCACTAAACCTTTTTGAAATGTGCCTCTTGCCAGTTGTTCGTTCGTTGTAGTAATACAAGGTTGTTGTTGTTGGTGTTGATGTTCAAGCGGTCGTACTCACTGTCATCGGCGTACTACATACCTTAGAGTCCGAGGTTCGAACCAGGCGACCGCCTCCGAATTCCGGTAGCAGGTAGTTTCGCAAGTAGACTACCACCCCTGCGCTAGAGAGACCTTATGTGGGTTACCGTTCCAAGTTCTGGGGCTTATGCTGCCGTTTCGAATGACTTAATAGCAGTCTAAACACAGAGCGTGGTTGACCATACGTTTTCGCTGGGTTCATTCTGAATTCTTTGCAGTCGTAGGTGGAAAAATAACTGGCGGTTGATGTGTTGGGGTAAAGTAAATCCGTCGGCCCACTTTCCGGGAGTGATTTTTGCTCCGCTGTTGAAACCAGTTTCACTGGTTCATCTTGTGCTGTGGTGCCTCATACGAGTTTGCCACGATTCGTATTATTTGGTACGCTAGTTCTCGCTCTCTCTCCGTTCACTTTTCACAAACTGCCACCATTCTTCCACCACCCCGTCATGGAACCACTTCGGTAAAGTGGACCACTTGATTTAACACACACGGACAGTATTTGGCTCTTTGTCGTATGAACCTAGGTTGGTTGTTGGCGTGCGTCAAACACTCCACCTGGCAATGTAGATCATTGTTTTACATTTTTGAAGTGAAAAATGCTCATGCTTAGACGAGCAGACCTCGTTCGAACTTTTATGTTGGTCTGGGCCTTCTTAGAGGTCGAGGTTTGTACTTCGACAGCTAGACATCCGGTGAATCCTTGACCTGGGACAGCACTCGCACAAGGCTGCTGTTCAGCCAGTCTCATTTTACGTTGCTCAGTCTTGGTCATTACACATACGAAGCAGGAGACGATCGTCTGACTCGCCGCAGCATTACGCATTGTTGATAACCAAATGGCCTGATGGGTTGAGCTTCATAGGGCTTGTTAACAAAGTATCAACCAATACGAAACTAAATGAATGTGTAATTTTCTAAGTTCATGCATCGTGGGCGAATAAATTTGTGTTTCACCCACCTTGTGTTTTTCTCATATCTGGAGTTGCGACTGAATGTTATGGACGCCAGGTAACTCTATCAATGGAGCGGTATTAATTGGTCAATAACTCCGTTGCTGACTATGGAGCCTTACTGTTTGTTCGCACGGATGGTGAGCAACTGCCTAACTTGTTTGCTTTTACTCATTTGTGATCGGAAATCATGTGATACGGACCATGGGACGTGTACCAGGATGTCAGTCCGGGTCGTTTTACACAAGAGGTCTTGAAGATTGTGGTAAAGTTCATCTTTGACTGCATCTGGGCTGCAGTCCGTTGGAGCGTACGCCGAAACGACAAATCAGTTTCATCCATCGTGGCGACGGCTGCCTACTTTGTACGAGCCTCAGTCTCACTGCGCATAACCTACCGTCGACCGGGATCAAATTCAGGACGGCGGCTTCGAATCTCGCTCGTTGAGAGCCACACCGACGCCAGAAAGACCGGAAACCACAGACTCAGGGCCTCAATCGGATAATACGACTGCAGTTTTGAATGCGAGTGTCCTGGATGCAACACACATCGATTGCTAGGGTCTCGAGCGTACGTGGCCAGTTTGAAAGAACATCGAGGACGAAGAGGAGCTTCAGCTGGTGGAGAAAAATTCGGTGAGACTTGGACGCTAGTCGAGGCAGGACAAGAGAGAACAGCGGGAGAATTTTCATCGGAGACACTACTTTTAGTACGATCCTCTGAAGAACCCGAGAGAGATGGCTGGAGGCTGAGAAAACATCAAGGTGTGTACGGTGTAGAATGTCTTTCTTTTGATAAAGAAGGCCCAGTGTGCGAATTCATGAGAGCAAGAACGTTCATAGTTGTGTCACCCGGTCCAGAGTGGGCCTTGTTCGAGGGTGCACTCTAGCCTTTGCGCAACCAGTTGCAGACTGTAAGGCAGTAGTGATGTTCCAGATGAGCCGGTGACCAGGTTTCGATTCATTCGCCTTTTCTGGGAAACATTTTTGTCCAGTGGATCTCGACAAGAGACAATAGCCGTGCTTGGTGGCAGGCCACGCTCGCCACGTCACAGCGCTACCCACAGATATTCATGGTGATTTTGTACGGAAAACGTTTTTTTTTCTTTTTCATTTTTACTTCCTTCTATTGAATACATAGTGATACAATTTTCGGAAGGAGGGAAGCGGCCACCTTAATCACTGTTAGCCTTGAGCTGACAGCCGTTCCTCTATCCGCGGCCTGAATGTGCGCTCGGTAGCATACAGCTCTGCTCACCCGAGTCGGGTATGATTTTCGTTAATTAGGTCTCCCTATGCGCAGTTGCCTTGTGTCATATGATCTCAAAGTTCAATAAATTCAACTTTGTGGCGTAATTTGTTATCATTTTTTTTTCATTCATTCTCGGATCATGCACTTTCTCCAACCCTTCCCGTCCTTTACCTTTTGGTATGAAGCCAACCAATTCGAGTGCGTCACTGAAACCAAAACGTGCAAATCCCGCGATGGCACAAGAATGCGTCCCGTCTTGACCGTGATGAAGCTCGATGTAATGGATTCCCGTCTGTCTCCTGCTCTCGTTCTCTTTGTATATATACATATATTCTCATTGGCATGATGCATCCAGTCTTCTGCTCTCTCCCTCCTGCGAAAGATTACCTCCGTCTGTTCCACCGAAGTGTCCCTTCGATTAACTTTTCTACAAAATTCATTGACCTGAGATGATTCCACCTAGCTCTTTCTTCCCCGTCGCTCAAGTTTCACAGAATTTCCTGATTTCTTCCACATCCCCCTCCCTCCCTCCAAGTTTCATAAATGTTATAGTATTCCAGTGAATAAAGCACTTTCATTCTTGCCTGTTCCTGATCGAATATTCGGCGCTCCGGGAATGGGGGATTGACATCTGTTTTTTTTCCTTTCTCGTTCCGAAGCTGTCCGAACTAGCGTTGAGGGATTCCTTCTTTGTGTAATTCAATGCTTAGTTCCCGATTGTCATTCTGTTGGCGGGGATTCGTCTTCTGGACTGCGTATATCGTTCTACGAGGTTAGTGATCTTGTTTAGTCAGAATTGCAAGTGAAAGAAAGAATATCCCAAGCATTGATTGATATGCCCAATTGTACTGTTTTATGCGACCCAATTGCTGCCGATTTCACCAGATCGGATCACTTTTACTGATCGCAAACAGAACACTGTGATGATCGTTCGAAAATGAATTCTGGATTGTGCTTTATTTGATTCGTGCTCTATGTTGTCTACTTGTGTCCTGTGTTGCACTTAGTTCCTCTCTCTCTAGCGCGCTCTTTGTTCGCGGGGATCGCGGTGCATTCTACCCCATTTCCCAATTTACATTGATTCTCGATGATGCAATCAATGTTGGTCCAACAAACGGAAACAATTTGATCTACGTCTACTTTCATCTCTAAAGTTATTCTTCGACAGACTGCGGGTTCAGACAACACAACGGGTCGTCAGTCCAAATCCGAATGTATCAGACGGGTATTATATCCTCCGTAATCTGACATACCAATATTTTCCCATCTGACATTTGTGCCGTGTTCCTGTATTATTTACTTCAATTTGGAAATTGTTGCAGATTATCACCCTACAAAATATCAGTGAGGCGAGTTTACCCCTCTTTGCTCCATACTGCTGATGTGCATAGTTAGAGCTAACAAAGTAGATCAATTCGACCGATCATACCTGAACGAGGCCATCCATCTGCTGTGCTGATTCTTTCTCCCGGTAGTTATTGTTCACGACGCTTACCCAACTCCAACTTCCAGTTTTCGTTTGTACAATCATTACTCATGCGCCTTCGTGCGGCAGTTTTCGTTGCTGTCTTTTGGCTGCCCA